GGGTGTGGCTGTCGGGAAGAAGAGGGGTTCGATGATGAGGAAGGAAATGAGGGTATAGGATATGTGGGTCTCTGGAATGGGGGAATACAAGCTGCGGACATAAGAATCGAGGACACATTTAGGCCTAAATAATATGGGAAAGAAGGCATGTACGTTTCATTCCCATGTACCTGTTTCGGCACATTAGATATATATATAGGCAATTCAGATACATCCTCACCAGTAAAAAAAAACGCAAGTCATCGTCATCAGTTATTTCCATCACACAAACTTTAGTTTTAAAATGATACACACGTCTAATTATAATATCAAACTGTAGGGGGTTAATGTTACTCAATCTATACACGTGACCTAGAAATTCTCTGTACGTGATTGTACTATCCACTGTCAATCCCCTCGTACGACCGCCGACATAATCTTTTTCACTATCATTCCATTCTCCACCGAATGTTATGAAAACACGAGGCATCCTGCAAATAGATAAAACTAAGTGAGATAGGAAAATCGATCATTCAAAAATAAAATATTAAAAATTAAGAAAATAAAAAAAGTCTCGGATGAATCTTGGACCAGTCTTGGTCCGAGATATGTCCCGGACAAATCTCGAAGCAAGACTGGTCCAAGACATGTCCCAGACTAAATATGCTTCGAGATTAGTCCAGGACATGTCTCGGACCAAGACTGGTCCGAGATACATCCGAGACAGTCCCGATACGTGATGCACCGGGATTTTTTACATTCAATCCCGGACTAGGTATAGATCCGGGATTGAAGTAATTGCAACAATCTAATTTTTTTTTTGTCAACAGCCAAATCTAGTAGTTGAACCTATTAATGAGAAAATATTTCAAAAAAATTCAACAATTATAGAGTACAAAAGTTTGTGTAAAGGTAACATACCTCAAGTGAAATTGTGGGGACAATGATTTTGGATAGTGTGGGGACAAAAAAATATCAAACACGTACGTAGTTGAGCGGATTTTGAAAACGTGATCTGTGAGTTATACATAATCTATAATATTAACAAGTTCAAACATATGTAAAATATGAGTTTACAGTTCGGTGAAATGGTTAGATGGAAATCATAAATGCACATTTATTAACAATGAGKGTAAATTGGTCTTTTCCCATGAATAAAATATTTAAGGGATCATAAATAAGGGGTGGAGGGGTCACAAATTAGGTTTTTTAAAAATGGGGTCATTTATCCAGTTTCAGTTATTGAAAGGGTCACAAATTCAAATTTCCCCTRTAATTTAGGGAGATGATTTATTTATTTTATTTAAGAAGAGGATTTATTATTTCTCTTTAGAGTGTTATTTAAAAAAAATAGGAAAATATCATCATGACCTAATAGTTAATAAGAATCATTGTAGCAAAAACGACCATAGCTCACGGTAATCGGCATATAMCTCCGATTGGGAGCAAATGTTGTGTGACGATTAGAATAACAAATTTCTGAATAGAAACAAGACAAATCTGATTGACGTGTTGAAATTTATGTGCAAGTACTCATCCATATGACCATATCCATTCAATCCTAGAGTTCCCAAATCCCAAATCAAATCCAATCTTCTCGTTTGATTTCCAGCTGTGTTCATACAAAAATCCTCCTTCCTTTAGTCCATTGTTCGTCGGTTGGTGATCCTTGTAGTGCTTGCGCTTCAACCACCATTTCTCCACTTTCTGAGTTTTATGGGTCAAATCCCCACTTTGTCTCTCCGGCGAAGTGGACTTCATTGACTTAATCCTCACTGCGGAGTGGACTTCATTCACTTTTCACTCTGCTTCTGAATTCCGATCACAAGCAGCATCCAGGAGTTTGAAATTTGCTGYGTTCTTCTCTTCTCAAGGTGAGGACGATGAGTGCT